GTGTGTGTGTGCGTGTGTGCTTGCTGGGCTGCCCCTTGCTTGCTTTCATGCATGCTTTTATATCAACGTAAGAAAAAAAAATCACTTACATCTTAAAATTAAGGAGGTTTGCTAATTCTATGATTTATCCATTTTTATTCTCATGATTCATATTCTTCTGATCGTACTGTGAGGAGCAATGGCGACTTGTTATGTATTTTGCGCTCGTTTGGTGACGGATTTCTTCTTGAAGGCCTCTCTATCTGTTCTTTTTTTTCAGAACACAGAGAATATTTTCCAAACCCTTGCCTTTCACTCCCTCCGATTACAGGTGCTAATGTCATTTTGAGTATTAAATCACTAACTTGTTTATTTTTTCTTCTTTTTTTATTTTTTATTCATGTATATCTATTCATCAATGAATGTGCAATATTAGGCAGGTTTAAGATTAAATTCTATATTTTGAAATATGCTCTTTTTTTCCTTTGTTTGCTGCTTTTCTTTTCTTAAAATGTTGCTATTGTTCATTTGACTTAAAGTTAGATTATCTTTCATTTAATTTACCTCCATTTACTCATGTTGCTATTTAGTTTAGAGCATTTTCCGTATTTTGGCATAATCACTATGCAGTATGCTTGAGGGACTGATGATATAAAGTTAGATTATCATTTTGGAGTATGACCTGAGAGATCTGATGTCAGGGTAAACCTCCTTAATCTACATGCTTCGGTAGCTGCGCTTGTGCCTTTCCTATAGGCCAGCATGTGTTTGGCGTAGTCTCCCTTTAAAACTGTCTCTACTCAGACGAGACCTGGACTCAAACACCCCACCACAAATATTCTGCTGTCACTCTGTTCTACTTCTGATAATGACACAGTTACTGGGTAGAGCTAGCAAGTGACTGGCAGCTTTTCTGTGACAGACAGCCAATGTTGATGGAAAACAGTCAACTGTTTGATGCCAGGTCTAAGGAGTAGATTCCTTCTTCAGGTTCCAGCCTTTTTAATGCTTCCCCTGGCTAGGGCTAACTCACGACCGTGCTGTCTTAGCAGTCTGCTACCGCTCTAGCTCTCTCACCTTGACCTTGTCTTTTTGAAACCATAGTGCACTGATACCATCTAGCAGAAAATTAATCCAATCTGCATTTGCTCCATTTATATCCTCCCGACCAAATAAGCGCTTCTTATCTTCAGCTTTAACTCCAGTTAGAATTTAGATTACATGACTGAAAGCAACTGTTTCCACATTAATGTCATAATTTGATAATTTGCATGCATTTTGATTTTTACTAATGTCTGAAACACTAATTGTGTTCAGTCCTATCTTTAAAGGCACACTTGAGAATGGCTTTTAAGGGGTTTTTTGGGGGGGTGTTCTTGCACAATGAGCCACTGCCAAGCTTCATAGATTCACTGTTACCTGTTTTTTCTCCTTTATTTCTCTCCTCCTTTTGATTTCTGTTCCTTATGGTTTTGGTTTTGGTTCTATCCCTCCTCTCTGCTGGCTTCCCCTCCCTGTTGCGGCATCAGACCTGAGCGCTCCTAAGAAGTGTCGAGCGCGCTTTGGGCTCGATCAACAGAATAACTGGTGTGGCCCGTGCAGGTGTGTATGGTGTGTGCCTGCACTGGCCAGGGCCAGGTGAAGGCTGGGTAACTGTACACTGGGACTTCCTCCTTCGCTCTCTGCTGCTGCCTTTTCTTCCTCTTCTCCTCCCTCCCTCTGTCTGTCCCGCCAGGCTATCATGACCTCTCAGCTTCCTCCAGCCACGCCCTGCCGGTCTATCTCTAGGTTCCCACTATTTGATTTTTACCTCCTGTTTGGGAAGAAGGGTATTAACAGCATATGCCAGAGTGTTTGTGTGAATGGTGTCTGTGCGTATGTGTTGACGAAGAAACATTTTCTGGGGTTACAGGGGTTTCATTGCAGGATGTACAGTACAATAAGCCTCACTGAGATTGGTCAGAAATCCTAAACTGGCAGGTTGGGGCTTGGAGGATCTGGAGCCTGATGGCTTGGTCAATATGGAGGACATCCCAGTGTTGCCAGCCTAAACCTAAGCCCTGGCTACATGTTTTTGTCTGTGCAATGACGTGTCCATTTTGTTTTTTCTTTCTTTTTTTGTTTTGTCTCTGTGTGTATGTTTGTGTCTACCTCTTTGGCTAACAGATGCAAATACCCCAAAGAAGTGTCGTGCCTTGTTCGGGCTTGACCAGCTGAGTTTATGGTGCAAACCATGCAGGTATAACTGCTGTAGTACCAATGGGAGGAAGACATCCACAATGAGCAGCTTCTTCTCCTTGATTATTATATCCCTCTAAAACACGTTTCCATCAGCGTGGTAACAGATGGCAAACTCTTCTGCTCCTTTTCCTCACTGAGGAGCTTCCTGCTATAAATTCCCTCACAGCAATTTTTCCTCATTGAACTCGGTTTAAAGCCCAGTGGCAGAAAATGGATTTCTAAATAAGATTACTGAATATTTTATCTGAACAAAATATCTCGCTGCAAGATCATGGTTTCCTAATGTAATTTGGGATAACGTTTCTGACTATCTGGCTTGTTATGGTTGAAATCCATTTTCTCTCCAGGCAGTGGATAATTCACTCCCATCTTAACTGTCATGTTTGTTCTAATTGGCGTCCTTTGAATAACAATGTTATGCTTACAAATTTAGCCCTGCTTTCTCTGAGGGCCTGCTCAGTGACACTCTTTTCTGTGCCCTCTTCCTCCTCCTTCTCCACCTCTTCTTCCTCCAAACTCCTCTTCAATAACCCTTACTTAGTCCCTACCTGTTGTCTTTCTGTTCTGACACAAGCAGTCTTTGAATTGGGAATATTTTCATGGTAGGTATTTGTTTCTGCTAAGTAATACCCTTCTCTGTGTCTGGCTTGCAACCACACCCTGCCCCACTCTTTCTTGACACAACTCTTCAACAAAAACCATTGCCACACATTGTTTGTTTTTGCTGCTACACTTTTCATTTGTATTGTTTTAATCATTTATACAGGATGGCTCAAAATCTTACAATTTCTGTATTTTGCTGCACTTTAAGAGGTCATTTTGAACACTTTATTAGTTTAGTTTAAAGGAAATTACCCTGTAATGAAGGTCCAGCAAGAATTAAACCAATCATCTACACACACCCACATCTACTTTACTGTATTAAAATCATGTTTGAAATAAGTAGCACATCACACCTACCCACCTCCACACAGTCCGCCATTGTTGGTGTTTCCACTTGGCTCTCTTATTTCCCTCCCAGCTGACATACACAATATCAAAAATACTGCATTATTCCTTAAACAATAATAGCACATCATGAGATCAGGAAAGTGGAAAGCGCGAGATAATTCAGTCTTCGTTTTAGGAGCCGAGAGGTTAAAAGTTCTCTCTGGGCTCCATTTCCTAAAAGATGCATCTGGTGTAATTTCCCCCGAGACGGAGAAATCAATAACATACACAGGCACATACTATGAATCGATATGTCTGTTAAAAAATGGATATTAGCTCATTTGTTGCAGTTTGACAGACAGTTATTGAGAGCAAGATGTGTATGTAGTGGCAAAATGATACCTTTTTACGGCCGATCGATACTCCGCACCACCCAGTGCTTCAGTATCAGTGCAGAATGCACTTAAAAGCCTCATCCCCACTCTTTTCCAGACTTTTACAGTGTTCTATACTGTCCAGTGTTGTGTGCTTGTACTGTCGAGCTTATCGGAAATGCATGCCTGTCTTTCACCATAGCATGCGATCAAGGTTTTGTGAGCCCTTTTCATGTGATTTGCTGATATCCGTCTTCCTTTTCATTCTCAGTCATTTGCTCTCCCCGTTCATGTTTATGTCGAACTTCCCCCCCCCTCAGAATTACAGAAAAAGATTTGATTTGACAACCTTAATTAAACAGTAGATCAGCCTTATATGTTACGAAAGCCTCAATCTTTCTTTTTAAACACCTCTTTTTACCTACTCCATGTCCCTCCCAGAGTCTTAAATACTGATACTCCGTGGCCTTCAGGCATCCTTATGATAGAGTGGAGAGCTGAGAGAGGGGTCACTGCCAGGGTCAGGGTAAAGATGCGGTGGGCAGAGATTCCCCCTTAACCAAATCTGAACACAGCCTTCGCAGCAGAGTCACCACAGATAAATGCAACAATCCCCCTCCCTCCCCTCCCATGCTCATTCATCGGGTTCCACTGAGCGCAACGGGCCTGGCCTCAGGACTCAGCAGGCAGGGGGAGGGTCCCGACCCCAGGCAGGAATGCAAACATGATGCCTTGACCCCTCACGCACACACACTTGTGTCTGTGGGGCAGATACGGGGTAGTGTGGATCTTGTTGACTTTTTCGCCCTCATATCCAAACTCTGTCCCCTCAGGAGAAGAGAGAGTAGAGCCAGATAGAGGTAGAGGAGTGAGGCAGGTCCAGTAACCTCGTGTTGCTGGAGAGAACAGGCTGATCCCAAGCTGTAGCTCTGCCTGTAAGAAGGCTGAGTTTACATGCAGAGAGCAACCATTACTACATCTGATCTACTTCATTTTGCCCTCTCATCATCTCATCATCATCATCCTCATCATCTCTGCGTGTGCTTTTCATTTCCATGCTGCTTCCTGTCTAGGTGCTTCACCTGTGATCTTTCCTTCATGTCTGTCCTGTCTGATGGTTTAGTATTTGGAAATTGACTGTCATTTCTACCACCTTTCTTCTTAGCACGACGCTCATAAAGCTACTTAAATGCACCTGTAATATGTTATCTGTTATGTGAAACCAGTTTTGAGTAATGGTTTTCCTTCATTTAAAAAGGCAACGGTGCATTTAAGTCAGCAACAGTGCTAGGAGGCGATGCAGTTTGAAGATGTGATGCTAAATAATGCTCTTTTTCTCTCACCTTATTCCTCAGGAGAAAAAAAAAGTGCATTCGCTACATCCAAGGTGAAGGCAGCTGTGCCAGTCCTCCCTCTACGGACGGAAGCTTACTAGACTCCCCCCCATCCTCCCCCTCCTCAGTGGTTCCCTCCCCCTCCTCAAAAGAGTCCAAACCTCAGACTGAACAAATGCAACCTCTCTCACTGACTATGAAACCGGCCCACCAGCCACTCCACCACCCGCACCTCCTGGCTGGGCCTCCACCATCTTTGGTTCAGCTGGAAAACTCTGCTGCAGCTAGCAAAACGCCTGGCGCCTCCTCCCACAACGGAGCCCTGGAGCACGGTGACGTCTCGTCCTCGCGGCAGCCGGGCTCCTCTGTGGTGTCCTCAATGGCCCGGTCCTCGGCATCGCTGTGTCATTCCCACTCGCTCCTCCCCTCCACGGCCCCTCAGCCTCTGTCGCTAGTGACCAAGTCTATAGAATAGTCTACCCTATTCTTCTCCTCTTTTCTAGCTCTGCACACACACACCTTTCTAGGCCCTCTCTCTGCTATATTTCACTTGCCGTCAGTTCTTTTCTCTTTTATGTTTCTGTGCCATAAGGCTTTGAAATTTTAGTTTTTGTTTTATTAAAGTTCATTGGTCAATATTTGACCCATCATTATCAAAAAATCGAATTATTATAAAGAAATGATACAATGAGCTGTAGTATAGCTTTGTGAATCTGCCAAAATTTGTATGAATTTTGTTTTGTCTTTTTTGTAGTGTTCAACAGCGCAAACAGAAAAATTATTTAGTTCAACTTCAAAATGTTTAAAAGACGGATATAAAAAGGTAGGCTAGATTATTCAATGAGCCCTTTTCTTGAAAGAGTTGGTTCTCCTTCTTTATTTGTATTAAATACGAGCTTGCGAACCAATCATTTGACATCTGTTCAAACTCTAGGAGGGCATGAGGCTAGCGGTGACACCTCTCTGAGGAACAACTTTAATTGTGATGTTACTTGTTCTTGTTTAAATGTACAGAATAATGGGGAGGGGGGGATTACTGTGTTAAATATGCATTCTTCCACTGCGTTGTCTTTTTTCTTTGTTGTTTACCTTTGGGGTGGAGTCAGGCAAGTTGGGTGGGCTTGAGGGGAGGTCGGGGTGGGAGGGTTGAGGGTTATTAAATTCAAAATGTCACAACGCTAGGACCAGTAGTATTTATTGCTTTAGAGATTGCTTGTTGTATCTTGTATGTGTCTCTTTTTGACTTTTTTTTTCTTAATACATTGTACAAATATTTTTTCTTAAGGTAAGCGACTTATATATGAATGATCCATTTTTACAAGGAGGTTTTAAAAGGCAAATCTTTTGTTATTGATTTCTTTCCTCACTGAAAACCTGGATTCCACTCAGTGTACTGTGTAGATCTCATGAACAGAAGTATGCACAACTTCATTTCAAGAAATGCGTCTATAAGCCATTTTACAAAAAGAAGAAAAGAAAACTTGAAACAAGAGACAGTGGGCACCGTGTCTTCAGTAGTTGGAAAAGTGTCTAAAGCCCTTCTTTTTTATTGCACAGTCACATCTCTCAGACTGTAGATTCGTGTACAGATTTTCCGTGCCAAATTTTGTGATAATTTTCTCTGCCCCTCTAACCATGCTGTAGGGATCTTTTTTTTTTTCTTTTTTTTTTGTTTTTGTTTTGTTGTTGTTTGTTTTTTTCATTTCGATACCATTCTTTGCTGTGACGTTACATAGATTGCTATGTATGTAGTATAAATGTTGCTATAACAAATGTGTTTGGTAGCAAATTGTCAAATATTAAAATTTAAACTTAATAAAAAGGCGGACATCATACTGTATAAACCCACAAGGGCCAAATTATGTATATTAGGAGGTTCATAAAAAAACTATTAAATACAAAAAAATACACAAACTGCCACTTTTAAGTACACTACTACATATAGGTAGATAGAAAAAATAGGCATGTTGATGTTGCAAGAGGCTGTAAAAAAAGCTACAAGAGAATCATCCACTCGGTGCCATTGTAGTTGACATGACGCGACTGTAATCTGTCGATTTCTTCTCTGGTTTATTAAGATGCTAATGATAAATAGTTTGAATGTTTCCTTAACGGCTGTGATGTTCCTGTTCTATTTTATGCTCTTATCTTTTTGTTCGTTTGTTTTTTCCTGTTATTTTAAATGGTTCCAAAACCATGTTTTTTTGTAATGAATAAATGTTTATGCTGTACAGTCTCTGTAGCATGCAGTTCTGTATTAATAAAAGCAACTTAGTATGTGCACATCTGTGTCTTCCTTTTATTCTGAAAATCACTGAAAGGTGCAGCAAACAAACAACATGTTTAGACACTAAGTAGCCCTTATAAAGCTACAGTTCTCTCATAACAGAATCACCAAAGAATATGAGTTATTAGTCATTTATATGTCTTCTCGAAAGAAAATGAATAAAGTAATGGTCTATGATCGTTTTTTTAAGTTGACTTTTGAGAACCATACTTCATGAATTAATTGCAAAGGCAGTAATAATTATAATAAAACCCAGTAACCATGTAAACAGAGGGCACACGTTGTTACTTGTGTAAGTACCAACAGAATGCAAGAAACTATCAATGAGATGGTCATCTTAGTCCCAAGTGTCAAAAACTTGACAAAAAATTTAAACATGAACATACGGTTCAATAAACTCCTGCTAGACACAGGACGCTTTCAAGATTTCACAGTTTTTATACCCTGTGTTTGCACAAAACGCTTCATATTAGTAATTCTATATGCAGCTTATATATATTCATATTCAGCAATTCAACCGATCATACACTTACTATTTTACTTCAAATTCACTCAATAATGTTTTAGCAGTCTTGTAAGTCACACACCTATCAAGTGTGTCTTTACTTATTCTGATACCAAGTACCAATTTCCAATGTACATTTTCTGGTTATTATAAAAAAAATAATATAGCCTTTTTCAGGATGTGAATGTTTCATTCAAATGATCACTAAAACTGCATTTACTCACCTGCACTTTATGGCAAAACACTGGACTGTACATCGACTTAAACATAACGCTGTGTCCTCTTTTTAGGAGACACAATAACACTCAATCTAAACATCTCGTTATGTTTTCGGTCTGCAGGAAAATCAATCATGTAAAATTTAGAAAACACAACAAACTAACAAAGGAGACAAAACTAGAGTCAGGAAATATTACTCGTGTAACATTAGTCCAAAATGTTACATCATGACAAGGGATTTAGTTTATGTACTTCATATTTTGTTTTTTTCCGTATCAGGAAATCAAATTTTACTCCGCACATTATCACCCATGTCAAGATGCAAGATAACTGCAAGGTGACACCTGCTCATGTTTTCCACTTTTCTCTCTGTAGCATTGTAGTAGTGCAGGATCATGGTTGGTATTTGGTACCACTTGTCATTTACAAACTAAACCTATTGCAAGGTATTTATCACAGACAAATCAACTGTCTTGTGAATTTGTTGTGCTATAAGATCTGGGATCAAGTATCAAAAAGAACAGAAGACATTATGCATACAAATTTTCTAGTACAGAACTGCATATATGTGTAGAAAAGACAACAGGACCATGCTGGAAACTGGAAGGAAATGTAAGAACTACGAAACAAAAAAGTTCTTGTAGCTCTGATCCTGAACACAAATTCCCGTCTGACCACAATCAGTCATACCTCTGTCTCATGCAAATGGACCTCTAGTGCTAAATTAATAATAAAGTGATACTTGACTAATCCCCGTAGGGAAATTCTCCATTCCCTTCCTTCCATCTATGTGGAGGCCTGAGTTCAGGAGTGGCTCAGAGCAGCACCTCTGGAGCAGGTAGAGATTCAGTGACATTCTGGAGAACATTTAAACAAGGCTGGTTCTTGCTGACAAAAGGGGCTTGTACATTACTGTGTGTATTGTGGTCTGTTTGCTCAAGTATTTGAAATATTCATCATACATATATCATACACATCAACATAAGGTGGCCCTCAAGACATTCAGCTGAGATAGGTTGATGGATGTTTTATCTCAGCAATGGTTTAATTTTGCATTGGGTTACTGGGTCATTTTCTCGCAGTTTCATCTGTGAATTACTGCCATTGAAGCATTTCAGCTCCTCCACTGGAGTTCTATCAGTGGTTATGTCAGGAATTTTGTGTACAAATGTTCTGTATTAGAAACAGCACACAGGCATTGTATCGCAGTCAAAGTAGGCTGTGTTGTTTGGGTTGGTCTCCACTTGAGAACGTGACGTTCTCAATGGATCAACAACAGATTTGCAAGAAAAAAGTCTGTGTGTCGCAAGTGTACCATTTTATGAATTCACTCCATACACTGATGAGAACAGAATTGATTTCTTGTTTATTTGAAGTTTGCTTACTTATCCAAGCAAACAAGAAGTATTAAAAGTGTAGCTGAAGTACAGCGTGCATGCTGTACTTGAACAGGGCCATAATGTAATGTAGTCCTTGTGTGAATACGAAGCAAAGAACTGAAACTAGGGGGATGGGTTCTGTTACGATCAAGCAAATGCAGGACTCTTCTTTGTTCCTGTTGAATGTGTACAGTATGCAGACTTAATGCATCTGTATGGGCTATATCCTTGAACTACAAAACAACAAGCAATGTATAACATGGGAGCGTCCATGACAGTTCAATTACATTTGAAGAAGGAGGAAAGGCGTTGTATACCTGAGTAAAGAAATGACATTTTTTGATGTCAGCATGGCATGAAGGAACAATGTTGAAGGCCATCGCTGCCGGCAAGCATACAAATCAGAAAACATGCTCAACATTAAATATGTCTCCTAGGTTATAATAAACAGAACACAAAAAGATATTGTTTTGGATGTTATTAAAAAAAGAGATGTATGCCACTGACCCTGATCACGGTGGTGGAACAAAACTGAAAGGTTGAAGAAATGGCTGCAGTGCAGCATAAACATCTACAATATCCTTTGCTGAAGATGAAAATGCAACACATTTTCATACAGCTTCACATTAACAGATTTATGTTGTCCTCCATTATGACATTCCTCTTTTCACCCCAATTAGTTTAATATGGAGTTAAAAGAGAAGAGGACAGAGGGTCACTATTCGGTTTTTCAGTGTAGACGAGTTTTCGAAGGTGCTCTTTAGTTTGGAGCCACTACTTTTTGTGAGGAGGAGTTCTCATAACGCTCTTGAAGCAAAACAATTAAAAAGCCTGAATTGCACAGATAGTTCAAAAGAACGTATTGAAACCATGTCCAATGCATTGAAGCCCTGCTGTGACCTTCATCAGGGAGGAGCAAACCTTCATTCATTCCTCATGCACTTTGATATGCTGCTCCCAAAAGAAGACCATTGCACAGCCAATAAAATTCATAGGTTCAAAAAGCACTTGAGTAATTGTTTGGGAATTGGAATAGCGAGCCAGTGCCCTGTTTGCGCTGTTCTTGACTGTATCTCACGATCTCAAGATTTAAGTCATGTGTCTAAGGATGAACTGGAGTCAATTGATTTTTTGCAGGATTGTAGGAAAAAAACAAAAACACAGAGGTAAAGGATTCTGAGGTCATGTCAATACTTATTACAAGTTCGCACTCTGCTGTGTAGGTGAAGAGGGTGAGAAAGAATAGGGCAACAAAGGTGGTGATTGTAGAAAAAAAATATATATACAATACAGCGAGGTCTGAGTGTTTCAAATAATTTTGTGTTAAATTCTGGTGTAAAAAAAAAAAGTTAATTCAGAGTGTTACAGGTAAAAGGTCTTCTGGAAATCTTCTAGAAAGTGCTTTGTGAAAAATGAGTACAGCCTCCATTATCAGAATCACAGCAAATATCTGACAGACACAAAGTGAAGGATCTGGCCAAATTCTACATTACCTTAAAAGAGGACTGTGGTGCTACAGTATTTCAGTTAGTATGAAGTATGAATGGGGGTGCCATCACTTTTGGCTCTCATCAACAAAAAATTGTTAGAATAAACACAAAAACATTTTAAAGATTGGCAGAAGATGGCAGGGCTCAAAAATCTGAGACTGTCATTTAAATGAATTTTGCAAATTAAATAGAATGTTTTCTATTTTTGATATTGGCTGCATCCTTTTTCCACATCTTTTTTTTTGTTAGGGAAATTACATTTAAGATTATCTGTTGCTATTTTTGCCATATGTTGCTATATGCTTTGGAAAAACAGATTAAATAAAATACATGCAGTGAACAAGTAAAAGAACTCCTAAATGGCAGGAGCCTGGAAAGTAAAAGCATTTTGCTTTTAGAAATGTTAGTGCTTACTTCTTCTCATATGTAATCAGCTTTTGGTGCTCAAAACCCCTCATCTACACCTATTTTCATCTATTTTAATACATGCTACTGAGTAACTTGTATCTTCCTCCTTTCTAAAACTAATTTTTTTGAAAGAATCATCCCACTCTTTATTCAGTAACAATTGTCCTCTAACCTTGAAGAACAAAATGATGCACATGAAAGGTGGGTATTTTGAGAGATTTTTTCTTTTTCTACAATATGAAAGAGTCTCTTTTATCTGAGAAATAAATAGGGGCTACCACACAAGGGACATTTTGGTACAATTTGGTGCACAATGCTTTCCCTAAAGGACTATCCTGTGGTGTGCCAGTAACAAGGCCATCTTTAATCAGAAAGATTTTGGATCCATTAAGGCCATATTGTGTGTATTGCACTACAATAGATTCTGAAAAGAGGGATAGCTTGATGCTGAAAGCAGTGATCAAGTACACAGAGGAGAGGAATAAGCAACAGGGACTGCAGGGCTGTTCCATCAAGGAAAATTTTCAGCAATTCAGACCAGGACACAGAGAGTCGTCCCCCCCCCCCTTTTTAGCTAAAATCTCACTCCTAAACCTGCATTCCTCCTTGAAAATTAAATGCCACAACATCTGATGTATAAAACCAAAGGTCTCGCAGTGGCAACAGTTGGGCAACAACACACAACTGAAATAAGAACAGACTTAAATATCCATTGTGGTCCTCATATTATGTTACATGAGCCAACAAGACCATCAGTTGGTTTTAAAGTACGTGTATGACAAGTGTATAGCTATTACTGTATTTAAACTACATCTGCACACTGCAGTGCTGCATACTAGGTTAATGAGATGAAATGGCCAGTTGACGTATTACTTGATTCAAAGAAAACTGTTTAATGAATTGAAGCAAATGAAGCAAAAATATCATATATATATATATATATATATATATATATATATATACAGCTTCTCAAACGTCC